CTTCAAAGGGATTTGGTGGTCGTATTTTAAACATGCAATCTTTACGTTTGGCAAGGAACATGACATTTTCTTTTGGGGAAATAAATCTATGTTTAAAAACGGGAACTTATGGTAAACAATAAATATGACAAAATCTTACAGAAGAGCAGTGGCTTTTGTGTGGGTTGAGCAGATGAGGATTCACCTCACTTTGAAATGAAATTGCGAATTGCTGTGGTTAAAGGAGGCAGAATTCTCCCAAGGAAGAGAGGGAAAGTATTGTGTGGTCTGAGAGGCTGTATGGAAATTCCTCATGGGGAACATGCTGACCTCAAGGCTGACCTGTAAGCGTCAGCTTTTATGTGTGGTTGTGCTGTGGAGTGTGCTATGGGCATTTGTTTATGAGCCTGTGCTGTAGTATTAGTGGAGCCCGGGTATCAGTAATCCTGCCATGTGCTTAGTGGAGACGCTGTGTACAATTTTATAGGTGTATTCCAGCCTTAAGTACAAGTTTTCCCTGATCAGTTCTTTAGGTAATGTACAGGTTGACTGACATTAAAGGTATTTATTTTACTCTTATCCACAGCTATGTACAATAAACACCCAGATAACGATTCAGTATTGCTCAAGAGCTGCAGTAATAGACAGCAGGTAATAAAAAGGTACTAACTGTTTAAAATGTGACAGTGCACCTCTAAATTTGTCCAAAGTACATAAACATGTTATTAATGTAATACTACTTTATTGCATTCATTGATGAATTGGTTTATTACCTAATTTAATAAAATACTGACTAATAAAGAACAACTCTACTTATTAGCAGCTTATTCCTGTAAGTTTTCAAATTGTTATTTTACATGATCAACTTAAGTATTTATGATGAAACTACTTGATTAGAATAGAATAGAATAGAATATACTTTAATGTTGGTATATACCTAATGTTATATGCAGTTTATTGCATAAAAATATTACACTTTCTAGAAGTACATTTTACCAATTTTTTGGCAGTTTTTATAATACATTTGCTATAAGGGTGCTTTGACAGCCACATGCTGGACATTTGATTGTTGTGGGATTTGACCCAGTGACCTTTCCTTTCTGTCATGAGACTGTCAGTCGCACCAGTGGGCTGTCCTCTCTGGTTAGAAGCTGTAGCTACAGGAGAGGATTAATGTGTTCACATTGGCTGGTCAGACATTGTTTAAATCCCCAGGAGTTTCCAGAGGAAGGACTCCAAGCTAAGGAAAGCCCAACCTGTCCCATCAAGCAGAACACACCTAATCATAATGTTTTTTTTCTCCAACAGACTGTAATACCATGTTCAGTCAGCCTGAAACTCTCAGTCTGAAGCAAAGGCAGACGATTTGATGTACTGTTGTATCTAATGTGTATGTATTGGGGGTAGAGACATATTGCAGTATACAGCGCTTTAACAGATAGGGGGAAATAAATCCTAAAAACATGTGTATGGGAATTCCCAGATGGATTTACTGGATGATTTAGTCATAACCGTTCCCTCTTCCTAGTAAGTCCCATTACATGTTGTAACTTGTGGCTTCTTGGTTTTATATGAAATGGTGGATGCACTTTTGAAGCGTTTTAAACATTTTTAATGACGTCCTCATGCTCAACCACACAAGGTGAATGATGGTACGCTAAATAACTCCTTTGTCTGTGATTCATACCAAAACACTTCAGGCATTACCTTTCTGAGCCAGTCTTTTTTACATGAATTATCTTCTATCAGATCCAACCAATTTCACAGAAAGTTCTTGGCCCCTATACCAATGTCACACACGCTCCAACTGACATTTTCAGGCACATGCACAAACAGGCTCTTGCCTTAGGGCGAAGACTCATCCTGTCGATAAAAACAACAATAACAGACATTGTGCACACACGCTTTGTCAAATGTAGTAATATATATATATATACATTTATATGACACAAGTTCTTAACAGACTGGACACTTGCATGCTGCATTTTTTTGTAAACACAGATGAAGGGAGTGTTTTATCAATATTCTGCTTATACTTTCTATTTCATTCCTAAGACGTTATACAACCAAGAGCTGATCTGGGCAAATAACTCCTCCAGGAACTGATAAGGCCTGTTTATGGCTGGAGGCGACAGGGAGTTAGGAGGATTACATGTGACTGGTTGGTGCAGCTATTTAGCCTACCTCCCTCCTTGCAGACATTGAGCCCCTTCCACTGCTGGTTATTAGTCGAGTGCTGCCTCTGATTTTGCAATGAGTAAGGCTGTTGTGCTAGCACAAGTAAGCTTCTTTTTTTTGTCAAACCACATCCTGACAAATGATTACTTAACGCAATGTTCTGTCTCCCGCATTGTGTGTTTTTATTGCCTTCTCCTTCCCAGTCAGGAAAGTTGTCTTGCAAGCAAGTAAGACCCCCCCGCCCCCCAGAGGGTGACAAACTTTTTTTATGGAGCGATAATAATACCTGTTTACCCCAAAACCAAAGTGGGATTGTAAAATCCAGAGATGCGGAATGTGATTCTGGTGTAATTGTGGGAAAATAGTGCAGATTTGTAAATGGGAACTTCCTTTATCAGGATAATAGCGTCCCTTGACTTCAATATTATGAGCCATGTTGGGAAAAAACTTTAAGTATCCTCCGCAGAGGGGCTCAATTTAGTGGGACAGGCACTTCCCTTGTCATGTGATCCAGAGCTAATCTGAGGACAAGGACCTCACCCCAATCTCACCCCCTACCCGGCCCTCCTCTTCCCCGAAAGCGTACACATACACTACTGAAGTCCCAGTTAATGCCCCGGGAGAAATTACCCCTGACACAAGTTCTCAACACAGCAGAGGATCTCCAGTCAGTTGAAACTGACAGAACATCAAAGCAGCCATTAAGAGATTTGTTGGAGAAAACATGCTCAATTTACCACAGGGGAACAGGAACCTAACTCTAAGTTAAAGGCTAGATCCAGACTTGTTTTTGTCTCCACTAAGACTAGGAGGATGGCACTGACTGTGCTAGCCTTGATGTAGACTGCTACTCTCAGCCAAAACATTATTTTTGTTTTGCATGCCCTGGGTGGATTCCAGCTGTCAGTTAAGAATTACTCATGATTTCATATGATGTAATCGTTAAGGCTGATTTATGAACATTTTACTTAGTAGATAAAACTTTTGGCTGACAAACCTCCTTTGAATGTTGTAACCTTAGAAGCAGAAATGTTTAATGTTTGATTTTTAAATTTTGTTTTATTCACATCACTCACACAATACCATTTCACAGATCCTCAGTTCATCTTGTACTGTACAAGAAGGCTTTAATGAACACTCCCATCTGAATTTACCAGAGCAATGCAGAACAGAATGTATGTGATGACAAGCAGTGTGGTGTCTGTGTTTTCTCACCGTGCAGCCTGCTGGGAAGGAGAGGTCAGGCTGATTAGATAACTGTTGTGTATGAAGAGGATCGAGACGGCTGGGCTCACGTGAGGGGTCCGAACCCTGATCCAGAGAGCTTATACAACCATAAAACTTTAGTTTATACACAACTTCATGTTCTTGACATTATGCAATATGTTCATTGTAAAATGGGAACAATTAAGAAACTCTTAGAAGTTACATCCGTTATTATGAGGAAGGTTCACTTTTTAAGGGAGATGTGGAAATATTCAGTGAGAACTGCATTATTTCCTTAATTTATTTGGTCTCTCAACATTCCAGGTAAAAAGTCAAGATCATCAATGATTTTACATATCTTTACTGCATTTAGTATGTGATTGCCTTTGTATGTCCTTCTCTGTCTCTGCCCTGACCTTTGACCCAGTTGACAGCAGCCATGAATCCCCGGTGGTCAGATAACGGTTGTATGTGCTGAATACACACCTCCTGACACACTCATACAGTTTAACATAATGATTAGCCACACAATGTCTTCTTTTCATGACTCAGTTCTGAACAGGTTCTAGTTCATGATGCTCAGTAAGCGTGATTTAAAAGGGCCTCCTGCGCAGATGACGTGAACTGCTTCAGTGTCAAATTGTACTTGTTTATTTTCACAACAGTCCAGGTCTTTAACCCTGTCATTGACTCGCTCACATGGCCCCACAACCACAGTTATAGGTGGGGTATGAAAAAATTGCAACTGATTGACCTTCAGGCTATGTCAATAAAGTTGGAACACCATGTGCTCTCTGTTATTCACTCCCACACTGTGTTGACTCCTCACTGATGGTATATCACTTGTAAATATGTCCACAGCAGGACAAATATTTCACACATCTGTTTTTCTAGAAAACTGCAAACACAACTTACTCATTAATACATTTTTCTTTTAAATTTGATGCCTTTTTTGTACACATTAGGATGTGAAATTATTTTTTTTAATTATGCAACCCGACTGTTTTGAATTGTAATCATTTGTTGAGCAAAAGCTTCCTGATTTACTGTGTATTGGCACTGATTTTACTGTTCTGGTGCAGAGGACCAACCTTTTAGTGATTATATTAAAAACATCATGTCCTTGTGGAGGAGGAGAACAATTTGTTACTGGATGATAACATGGAATTCCTATCTAGCTTAAGTTAAACACAAAATACACTGCACTGCTTTATTTCCTCTTTAGTACCAACTGACCCATGTATGTTATGTTTAAGTAGATATCATTATGTTTTTGTCAGTTTCCATTAATAAAGACTTCCTCTCTCACACCACTGGTTGCCACACAGGAAGCTGGCACTCCCCAATGAGAGTCAGACAGACTGCATCCAAATGTCTTCTTCCACTTCTCTACCTCTTCATTTGCATGAAGGACAAATATTCAGAGATGAGGTTTAGCAGTTAAATGGTATGAAGTCAAATCAGCTTGTCAAGTGGTCTCATGAAGTTTAAAATAGTAAATAATAAGATACTATACTGATAATGTAATTTTAAGTTTTGGTCCATTATATAATATTCAAGTTCAACATTTTAAATGATTTATATACCAGCGTCAAAAGATTGATTGATCGTTGATCAGTGAAATGACAAAAGGTTTCAAGTGCAATTGTTTGTTTTAAACAGTACATGACTTTTATTCATTACTGTGGCATGAGTGCAGTATATGGAATTCTGTGTCAGTGCATTTAATGGTCTAAAAAGGCAAAAAACAAAATGCTGCCAGAACAAAAAAGGCACTTCTGTGACCTATTTGTAATTCACAATAAAAAAAGAAAAGAAAAAAAAGCCCTGTACAATCTATAGCTTGATATATCTTTATGTTAATTTAATAGATTCTACTATAAAGTTGGCACCGCAAATTACCACAGAAATGTACAGATATACAGGCACATGAAGCATTCAATATGATAACTGTCCTGCTGTTCAGTGATCACATTCTCTTCCAGGTCACTGGCAGAGTAATTGCGCGTAACACAATTACAGTATATTCCACAGGAAAGGGAAATTAGTAAGTAGTAATAACAAATCCACAGATGTGAAGAAATGGACATGTAGCAGTAATACTGCAGAGCAGAGGCTGTCTATGACAGGTCCAAACATTTGTCCTGAGATGAAGACTGAGATCAAATAATACTTCTTTGGCAGGTGGTTCATAAACCATTCAAACAATCCAAACAAGTCCATTCCCATTGTCTCAAGGAGGTTTGTTTTCCTATGGGAGGATGTATTTTAATACCTTTCATGTTGAGTGTGGCAACCCCACTGTCACACTGACGACTCGTTGTGGAAGACTTTAGCTTTGAGATTCCTTAGGCTGCAATGCAGGTTTGAGCTGGTTTCTGACTGCAGGGCATCTGAGAACTTGACGTCAAACGAGTGCTTGCCCTGAGACTTCCTCTTCATTGAGTTCTGGATGGTCTCCGAGGTGAAGTAGTACACGATGGGATCAAAGCAGCAGTTGGACACAGCAATGCAGAGGGCTATTGGGTAGATCGTCCGGACCACCGATTCCACAAAGCAGCCTTTTAAAGTTTTGGTGCGGACCAGAGCATAGAAAATCAAGTTTACATTGTAGGGGATGAAGCAAAAACAAAAAATAAGGAGATGCACAATTATCATACGTAGGATCTTTTTTTTGTTCAGCTTCCCCCCTCGACTGATGGTTTGAGGGCGACGCAGGGTCTGCAACACCATGATGGAACAACACACATTGAGTAGAAGTGGGATGACGAAGCCCACTGTCTCTATGAAGATCACCACCTTGGACAGGTGAGATTTCCACTGCTTGGAGGAGAAGTTCTCAAAGCAGAATGTTGCGTTGGTATTATTATTCCCACGTGAGGTGGTCTCCAACAGGAACCCTGTGGGGAGACTCCCTGACAGCACCAGCACCCATACAGCAACACACACTATCTTGGCATTGCGCTTGGTCCTAAGCGCCCTTGAGCGAAAGGGGTACACAATGGCTAAAAAGCGATCCACGCTAATGCAGGTGAGGAAGAGAATGCTGCCATACATGTTGGTGTAGAACAGAGAGACGGAGACCTTGCAGAGCGTGCTTCCAAAAGGCCAGTTCTGGTTGATGAAGTAGAAGACTCTCAGAGGCAGTGTGAAGACAAACAGCAGATCAGACACTACCAAGTTCATCATGTAGGTCGTGGTCTCGTTCCTCAGCTTCAGAGAACAGGTGAATATGTAAATGGCCACAACGTTGGTGATCAGTCCCACCACAAACACAATGCTGAAGACTGTACTGTACAATGGGTATTTAAACCCATCGTTCTTGATGCAGGTAGAGTTGTTAGCGATTTGCTGGGTGAAACTGCCAGTTGGGATGGTGCTGTTGTACATTCTGAGAGACAAAGAGTGGAGGGATGAGAGGCGTCTGTTACGTAATAGCTATATAATGAAAAGGCTGCTGTGAACAATGAATTCACCATGAATGGAGAGTATATCACAGAACAGTCCTAAGCCAGGATACAGTGAAAGGCACTCTGTCATCTGATAATTCATGCCATCGGCACAAAGGTTTCTGCCCATGTTAGAGAAGACTGCTGCACATGGTCACAAAGATTCCCTCCCCTGTCTTGATGTAGTTATTTTGGGGGTTACCTCATGTTGAAAAGAACCCTCCCAGAGGACAGAGATACAGGCTGGAGCCTCCTCCCCTCCCCCTTCCCTGTCTCTCAACCAGGATGCACCCCACAAGTTGCAAGCTGAGCTTTACTTACTCAGATAATTTAGTCCCACGTGTGTCTCCTTTTCTCCCAAGAAGTCCTCAACCACCATGAGCTGCTGAGTCCACAAAGGGAATGATAGCATATCCACATTCAGGTCCGTTAGAGAGATTCCCTGATGGCAAAATCCCTTCTCTTTGTCAAAACTCAGTCCTTTGTTTTTGTCCTTTTCAGTTCCAAAGCAGCAAACTTGTCATTAGAGTTCCACCTCTCACAAGGTCCTGACCACAAACCACCAGGCTTCTTCCCAGGAGCAGAAGTCAAGCTTGAGTTGAGCTTGTGCTCTCCATCTGTGTGTCACAACGTGAGTGTGTTTCACAGTTTGTCCTCAGGGTCTTTTTCCTGTCCCCTCTTTTCTTCTTTTTCTCTTACTAACGGACTGACTCACTCTCAGTATCGACTTCTCTCTCTCTCTCTTTCCTCAGTTTCTTTTTCCCTCTGACAGCCTCACAAGCTTTGACTCAGCACACATCACATTCAGTTGTACTTCTCCTTTGTGCCGGTGTCACAGACAGTTTTTGTACTTTGAGTGGAAGGGAGAGCAACTGTCCTAACTCCTCCCTCTGCCTCCCATCTAACTCCTCCTTCTCCTTTGTCTGCTGTTAAAGGAGGAATCAACCCAAACAACTCTCCATTGTGAGGGAATTCATCAAAATGTTGCAATAAATTCTCATAATTTGCTGGAATACTGTCAGTCCTGTATAAACACATTTGATGCATGGATACATATTTAAAATAAACATTTTGAGCTATTCTTACATGAGTAGTGAGTGAGTTAAAAAATTAAAAATGCAATATTAAATGTTACCACCAATATTGGGCTTATCAAAAGAATATTTTACAGATCAACTAGAGTTTAAAAAAGTGCCTTTACAAGGTTAAAATGGTTGATTTGTTTACTGCTTTTTTTTAGCAGCATTAAAATAAGTAATTAAAATTACCTCCACCTCAACCAACTGCATGAAAGCTGCTTACATATTTATGCATGACTAAGTCAGTCATATAATCTGATACCTGGTAATAATATAAAAATGACAGGAGCCATTTTTATATCCTTTTACATTTGACACTTTAAGTATATCTTACTGCTATTACATGCACTTTTACTTAAGTAACATTTTGAATGCAGGACTTGTAATCGAGTATTTCTACATTGTGGTATTGCAACTTTAATATCACTAAAGGCTCTTCCATCACCGCTACAGCACAACATGACACAACAGGATAAAAAAGAAATCAGAGAAATCATTAGATTAGATTAATTGCTGTTTGATTGTTTTTTTGTTTTTTTTTTACATCAGTCAAGCTGTCAATGAAGACAAGAGGTCAAAAGTGCCTGAGAAGCTCACTGAAACCCAGAGGTGCCTGAGGTGACTGCTTCCACAGGTCCGACGGGAGGTACAAGAAAATTAAACTGTCTCCTTGTTTTTGATGAACTGTGTGGGCAGCGGCTCTGCTATAGAAGAACAGGGTTTTATTCTGCAGCGGACACTGGAAATGAGACAGAACAGAAAGCTTTCTCTATTCGACCCTTGTCAGTCCATACCCACAGCTTTCTCCTGTCAGCGCTGTGCAACAGCATCCAAGTTCTCCTGTAGCAGAAAACTCCCCACTTGGCAGTCAGTAGAAACATTGGGGCCTTTGTTGTGAATGAAGTAGCTTAGCAAGGAGGAATGTGAAGTTCATAAATAATTAGTCTCAGACAACTTGAAAGGGCTCTCAGCTTCTTGATCAGCAGTGTGGTGAGCGAGTACTGTAAAATGTTTTGAGTCTATTTGTGTGAGATGGCTGTCACTGTGTCAGATAGAAAGTACACTTGATTTCCCATTAGTTAATAAATGCTTGCCTGTCAAAAAAACGAGTTAAGAAGCGATGCTTTGTAGTTAATATATGAATAAAACCACACCGAGATAAGAGAACCTGTTAGCTTCTTTTTATTGGTAACAAAACTATTTCCCCATTCGGAGCTGACTCCAGTGATACAAACATATGCATGCTGGCTTAGGAACATGACACTAATCCAAAGATGGTTTGTCTTGACTTCACAGAGTTACCAATAATAGCCAAACAAATGAGAGGGGAAATCTTGGAGCGAATCAAAGAGACGGTGGGTGTTTTATGGCCAGCGTGCCTCTCTTTGTCAGTCCGCCACAAAATAAACATCATCAAGGCTAACATTGAAGAAAATAGAAAAACCTGTACTATTGTCTTTCACTCGCAAAATAATTCCATCCAGCACATAAAAACAAGCTCTTCTCATGCAAGTATGTGGTCGCTAAACAAAAACATGTGCCTTAAATCTCTGGACTGTTAAATTTCTCACAATGCCAGGAAACTGTCTGGAACCCCCAAGGCCAAGACTGAAGGCTTTTAAACACGGGAGAAAAACGCATGAGAAAGACAGTAGGTGACATAATGCTGTTAGGTAATGATCATCAGTGGCAGTCAGGAGCGTACTCAGACATGGGACATCATTTTAATTATGACTTAAACATGAATGTTGCATTTAAACATGAACTTAAACTTAATGCGAATATGAATTGATACACACTTGGAACCCAGAGTAGAGGCGTCGTTTAACACTTGTTTAACTGTTTAACATGTATATTGACACATCCAGTCAGCCCGAGGCACATTTTTAGTAATGAGAGAAATACAGTTGCACAAATCTCTGTGCTAAAAAAGGTCAGCAAAAGCTGTGGTTGGTTGGTTCTCTCTGGGTTTGTAACTGAGTAACCTCTTTGATATTACAGAGTAATTTAAGTGTTGATTTAAAAAAAAAATGTATTTTCATATGCAAGTCGTGTTAATTAGTGAGCTTGGATTTGATCAGGATGACTTTGATAACTTGAAGAAATAACATTGTGTTTGATTACTGTAACATATAAGAAAATGAGCAGCCCAAAGGAAAACTGCTGTACAAATGTCTAACTTGGCAAAAGGACATTCACAGCCAGCGACTCAAAGGGCTTTTGGCTCCTTCTCTCTTGTTCACCTTGGAAACAGAAGCAGCACAAATGTTGTGCTTGTGTCCACAAACAACAAGCAAGAGAAACTGGTATAACCCCCCATAACCACGGTCCATACACAAACCACTGAGGCTGCGGCACATGCCACAGCGGCTAAACATGGAGCTCTGACACTTCTTACTGCAAGAAAAAACAACTGCAACAACTTGAATTGGGGAATGACAGATTAGGTGGGGGCTTCTGATTGAAGCTTTGCAGAAGGAAAAAAGGGAGGATATTGTTTCATCATTGAGATCTGCACATATTAACACAATGGAAAAAAAGCCTACACAATCTTTGTCTTCATATTCTCTTGGAAATAAAATGTTAACTTGTACCATATGGTTTAATGTATTACAAAATGAAAGTCCTGACATTTGAAACACAAGAGCCTGCTGTGGGTCTTTGAACAGCAGTGTGCTCCCACACTGCCTTATCAACTTAAAGCTTTTGACTGCTTTGTAAAACAAATACTCCCCACCCACAAAGAATTCACTCCCACGCTGCAACCGCCAACTGCATGTACACTATTATAAAAAGGTCTGCATCTCAAAGCAACTTAGTGGTAACTTGTCTTGACAATTGTCTTTTTTTTTTTTTTTCAACCTGTTTCAGTAGCACCACAGACCCAACAGGCTCTTCAGAGGATGTTATGATCACCCACAGACCGTTCAGGCACACCTGATAAGAAGTGGTTTATATGAGTCACTAGTTTATACAGTTAAATGTTCAAATATCATCTTGTGCTGGTAGAAGATTTTTATCATGTTAGTTCTTCATGGTTCTCTCCTTCAGCTTGATTGGATGCTGTTGGTTTGCTGTTGATGCTGAGGATCTAGGCAATTAGGTGTTGACTGGCTGGGAATGAATAGGGTTAGTGTTAGTTGATCCAGAAAATGGAGAGACGTTTATGGCACACTTTTTAAATAATATACTTTTTTAATCTTCAGGCTTGGGGGAAGGTATCAAGTATATTCAAGTCAAAAGGCACAAATCCAACACAAGTCACAAGTCACTCTAAGTCGAGTTGCAAGTCTTTTTTATTTTATTTTCTCAACTCACAAGTGGTGTAGTGAACAACAGACCAGACCAGATTGCTTATGAATCAGTAAGTAATTATTCTATATAGTTGTATTTGTGGCCTAAATTTAGCATACAGTGCTGCATCTAAGTTAATGGCATGCACCTTAAACCATGGCATCTTCCTGTCACCACTGGCTCAAACGACACATTTAGAATTTAAAGAACGTTCTGCTTTTTCTGGTTAAGTTGGTTTCTTGTAACATTAAGAATTTGTCACTGACTGGAAATAGACATGCAGATGGGCTTCATTTGACCACTTCACCAGTTATTTGCATGTCTCGTTACATACTGTCATCCTGAGTGAGTATCTCAAACTACTGCACACTTGAATAGCAATGCAAAGGGGTATTATATTAAGTAAATAAATTATATTACTTATTTATTGTTATTTAAAAGTAAATAATTAAATTATATTATTTTCCAGGGCAATACAAGCCAGCCGATCTTTATTTACATGATTCACACTGGATACTGGAGCACAAAACAAAACAAAAAGTCCATAAAGTGAACTGACATATATATTATATATATTATATATATTATATATGCTTTCAAAAAAAAAAAAAAAAGATTATCCAGTATCTGTAAAACCTGTAAACAAACATCCGCTAGTTTGTATTGCCCTATAAAATAGCTTAAATACCACTTCGCATAGCTATTCAAGTGTGAGGTATCTTTTTTCCCCCTTGACATGTAACCTAATTGTAACAGCAGACTATAAACCAGATGAAGTGCAGCACTCTTCTATCAAAACAACAACTTCCCGTGTATTAAAGCATCAATGCAGAGGCCAAAGCTTTATTTTTAGCCCAGACTAAACTTCCCATTAAAGAACAAAAACAGTAAGTGATTTTCTTACAAAAAAAAAATTGGTGGAGTATAGAAACCTCAGGTTCTTGTGATGGCTGTATTTAATTTTGAGGAACTTGAGCATTTCCATCTCATGCTATTCATATTTATATATTTTTTTGCTACTACATTTGTCAGAAAGCTTTAGGTCTTGATTAACATGGGATAGAAAAGGAATTTTGATTGATTTAAAGTTTTTTTTTTTAAATGTTTAATTCATTAAAGAATAATAATACTTATTTCACCATATCTTTATTAGGAAAATGGGAGGGTTTTATTGACTAAAGGAATCTAAAATGTAGATTATATTTGTGTCACAGTGCAGGGGGGTCTGTAGGTGGCAGTTACCGTTGACAGCTGCGTGCACTTCCTCATATTCCAGATAAAAACGGCTTGACTTGTGTGTCAACAATGTACGAATGTTTAGTTTAAGGCTTTATCTATTTAATAACATATTAACTTAACTGACACCCTGATCTGCATACCATACTATACTACTGAGAGGCCCTTTGCCTTAAGAGAAACCCAACAAGGTGAAATGAAATGTATTTTCTGGCAACTGTAATACAAAAATAAGTACAATAAATGAATATAATTTCATGGGTTTTTTTTTTTTAAGCTAGCTTTAGTATTAAAGCTAGACCTTAGCTAAATCACCAGAGAACCTTACACCAAATACTCTGCTATACTGTGTCTCACAGTGGCTGTTATCCTCCAAGCCATATGCACCTAAATTTGCCAGCATTGTTTTGGGAGTAGCCATTAGCTGAAACCAAGTAACTGAATTATCATCTGTGAGCTGCTGATCTGGCTTTCATCACAATGTGTCCAGACATACCGTCTGTTAGGGCTCAGCAGACTATGAAGCTTAGAATGTTTCGTAGTAGCTGAGACTGTATGAATATAAAATCTACACACAGTCTCAAAAAAAACAGTTTATATTTACTACACACCGATATATTGCAATGCCTTATCTTGTAAGGTGTCCGTTGTGACACTTTAAAGCTGCACTTCAGGAAATGAACTGGCACTCGTGCAGAATAAGACCTTCCTCTTTCAATGTATAAACAGAGTCAGACTGTATTGCATGATACACATGTTGAAATCATTGCCTCCATTTCCTGTAGAAATAACATAATCCTAGCAGTATGACTAAGTATTACCTATGTGTGACTTATGCCTTTTCAAACTAATTATTTTTTGGCCACATTACTAATTTACATTATTATTTACTTTATAAATATTTTTGGGGGTTATTTTAAAAGGAAGCAAACACCAGAGCTGGAGCAACAGATGCAGTACTGATGTGTTTGCACATTTTGTTAAAACCATTTGATGGCAGGTGATAAAACCTCAACTAGTAGCAAAGGTCACACTCAGCAGGCTTTCAGTAAAGAAGTAAGTAAGAAGTGCAACACTACCCCCTCAATGGCTTAGAGCTGCTGTTGATGAAACACTGATCACAGTTTACATGTATGCTTGTAGCAAGCTGTGAAAAAAATGTGTTGCATGTAATATTTTCTTCAGTTAATTACATAGTGTATATATGTATGTCAAGGCTGTTAAATCATCCCGCAACATACCACCAATAACATCAATAACTTATACAACAAATTATGTACTTATTCATTTTATTACATTTTAGATTATCAAATGTTATCATTAGTGCCATTGTCAGCAGCTTTTCCATACAAAATGAGAATAGGCATTTTTAGTAATTATCAAAATGTTCCAAAAAAATACAATAATTGGCTTGTTAAAGTAAAAGCATTATGTTACATTCTACTTGGATAGATTGGGGAATTTAATGTGGAATTATCCGGTAACTACATTTAAAGACCTTGTGGTCCAATAAGAGACGTGGGTCTATATTAAGCATTGTCAGTTGGCAATTACACTGAGCCGGGCCTATTTCATTATCAAGGTGCTACCAGGGGAGAGATATAACAAAACACTTGTAAAAACAACCAGTTTGCTGCCAACATATTAACAATTAAAAAAAACAAAACAATCAACAACCAAACTTTTGTAAACATACCAAATTGCAATGAAACACAACTGTAAAATCAGCTGCAATTATAGTGTAACATAACCAACAGGCTACACAGGAATAGATATGCTTGTGCAAGTCAGACACAGTTTCCAGCTGCTCAGAGAGTGTTAAACTGAACACAAGTAAACATGCAGGAGGATGTTCTCATCTCTCGTAAAGTGTAACTGACTATTAGTCTGCTGATGGTGGCTCTCTACAGCAAAACAGTGCAAATGTTAGTCGATACAAACATCGAACAGTAACCATCAATTTGGATGGCAAAGGTGAATAAATGTAATATAAAACATAAGTGGCGAATTTTAACATTGACTTACGGAAGAGAGCAAATATTCTCATTGCTCGGACACAAACTATGATTGTTTAGAAAAAGAAGGTGAGAACAAACTTAACTTGCAGTTTTCTAAACAAAAAGAAAAGACAGCTTACATGTTTCGTTATTTAATACTACTTCTCAATTCCGAAAGTTTGAGAATCAAGGCTTCAAAGAAAAGCAGCACATTGTGAAGGGTCAATTCATGGCTGACTTGTTTATCGCTTGCTCTCACTACCGAGCAGACATATAGTACTACAATACAATATACGCATTGATTATTTGTTTTAATAACTGATAAAAGGGCTGAGTGATTAAAAAAAAAAAGTTACTTTGAGGCAAGCCCCTGCACCCCATCCGTCTGTTGACTAGCTTGAACAAATCGGACACAGAATTGACCACGCATATTGTCAGTAACTCAAACACAACAGAATCTGTCTGCCTGTGACTGGCCGAGTGGTATGACCTAATTTACGTCCAAGCAACCACTGCGTTTGGGCTAGGTTTAGGGGAGTAACACAGGAGCATCAGTTAGACGGTGAAACCTTCAACCATTTGCCTCTCCAGTGTTAACATCCCCAGCCACAAGGCTTTGAAGTACTGATCAGCCTGGTGATTACTCTGGTTTAGGGTCAACCCTCAGGACCTCAGCTTGAGCCTAACCCTCATCGCGTTCAATCCATCACTACAGGGGCGCTCGAGTCAGTTTTTGAAGGCCCCGTAGCGGCTGGCTTTACTAATGAAGTTCTTGAGCAGGTCGTGGTCCATGTCTGCAAAGGCCTGGGTCTGCGTGACAGCTGTTAGGTGGTTGACGCAAAACTTGAAGCAGAACTCCTCCAGGTCCTAAAAATGAAGAGGGCTGTCTGGTCAGTGCTGAGGAGTACAACTGACTAGCTACTGAGAAGGCCCCCACCACCATGGTGTTTGTCTGTGTGTCAGGGGCTATAAGCTTACCCGGGCCTCATACTTGACAGCAGCAGAGAGCAGAGTGATGGCGTTCTCCTCAGAAATGCCCCTCTTGATGGTTTCCTGGCACAGCCTCTTCAGTCTCGTCTCTCGGTAGAACGTAGCCAGGTCTAGCAACCCTGCAAACACAAGAACAATACACGGGTGAGTGTATTTAGGACTTCTGCACTGACATGTTTCAAAGCTCTTAGAGTCTAGTACACTCAGGGTGTAAAGGATTGTGGCCCATGTTTAAGCTTACCAATAGCATCCTCTGGTGGCAGGTTAATAGTGTCTGTGTAGAGGTACTCCAAAAAGGCTCTGTACACCAGGTACGAGAACTGGTGAATTTCTATGGCGTCCTCATCTGTTTCATTCAGCAGTGCACGAAAATGTTCACATCTGGAGGGGGAGGAAAAGGAGCAGACGACTCGCGTGACATGGTAACCGATACCACACCAGTGAATTAGCCTGGGCCCATTTACACAGCGCAAAGTGATTGAAAATCAAATCCCACTAAATCGACCCAAGGTTTGTGATTCATTTGTTGGCATATTATCATTATCATGATGCATAATGCAGTGCAGTCCATACTTGCAGCAAATTGCACTACCACCCAATGAAAAGGAAATTAGCAACAACAAAAAACAGACCTGATGTTCGATTGATTGCACAACTAGTTTCAAGAGCCTGCTAACTAATTTTCAGAAATCAGTGGAAACAGAGGCGGCCTATAAAGAAGGAAGACTACAGCGTAATTTTAAAAATGTTCAGCAGTAATATGAAGTACACATAATTAATACTTAAGGATGAAAACAGGTACAATTAGAAATATTTCTTCATTTCTATTCATTTGTCACACACAGTGTGTTTGGGTGTTGTTGTAGCTCACTGTGTTTGTAATTGTTAGTGTTCTCTATTTGTCTGATAGCGTAATACATGTTTTCTTTCCCATAATGCTTCATTTGAATCCCACCATTACACACGTTTATAACCCTGAACAAGTACAGAAACAGCTATGGGGCTTTTTTAAAATATCCAGCACTTGTTACAGTTCATTGCGTCAGTGAAAGTATATTTATATATTCTAATGATCTGACTTATTTTTCCATATTTGTTCCTTATGGCTCTCTGCATTATATTTTCCCCCTCACTGCTAATCTCTACTGGCTCAAAACACTGCTTCGCTATAATTTCTCCTCAGCAGTTTTCATCCTCTAGTCTCTACTCTCAAATGTATCATTTGCATGTGATCTTGTCAAAGCAGGCGTTTTGCACTGTTGCATATTCGTGTGAGCGTGTGCACAGAGGTCGACGTCACAGACAGTCAGGCTCCTTCCCACTGACCAAAAGAGCAAGGGACTGGAACGCAGATACTCTGTGTCAAAGTGTGGTTATGAAAAGAAAAACAGGAAACAATAGGTCCGTCTTTGCTGTCCCGTGACATTAGCGGGAAAGACAAAGAATCTGTCTAAAGCGGATGAAGTTTAAATATAGGCAACACTTCGTTCACTGGGTATATGTGAAATTCATGGTCACACAAAGATGGCTCAGCGTGTTTGCTGTGACAACGGTAGTGCAATGAACAAACAGATTTGTTTGTCTCGGTTCTTTATGTCTATAATTAACAATCAGAGTGTGTTTCTGTTCCCCTGAAGATCCCAGTGTGGTATACCAAGCGCTTTCATTACTCATGACCAAGCACAACCTCTGAATGTGAAAAATACACTCATGTGACCAAATTCAAAGTCAGGATGGAATAGCGGGCTGCTCTGGTGAGGAAAAAAAGAAAACCATCACTTAAAAACAGTAAAGCAAAGAAGAGTTCAGTGGCCCTAAAATTAAAGGTGACAAATATCTTCATATTATTTACCTAAACATTTGTGATCTTTACCTATTTTCAACATAATAATAATCAGCAAGTAGCACTAGTTCACATTTTCACTTTGGAGTTGGAGGGTCCTCGTTTTCTGTACCTTATTTTCAGCAGGGCTTTGTGAACATGGATACACTTCCCATCAACCAAGAACTTCAAGTCTGAAATCTCTGGGCTGTCAAACTCCTTCTTCAAAGACTGGGCAACAGTCAGGTAGTCATCGCCATCTGGCAAAAATAAAAAAGAAGGAATGAATAACTAAATGTTTTCTGTGAAATGAAAAGGGCTAAGTTATGTGTTTTGCATATTTTACAGTCCTGTAACAACTGCCATGTTTCACTGCAAAGATAAACCACACAGAGTATGCAAATACTGTACATTATTTCATTCAAATCCCAGAAATTACAATTAAAAGTGATGCCTTTAGACCCTACAGATAGGACTCTCTCTAGTACACTTCTTAAAAAGAATATTCTAGGGAATCACTATCTGTTCCTCTAACACTACAGTTGAACAGGTAACGACAGACTGAACAGACTGCACTCACGAGAGCACCGCTGATTTCAGTGGCTTGTTAGTTAAAAAGATTTTCCAGAAATGTGATGAGCTTTAAAATGAGATGAGTCAAAGTGCTAATGTTCATGCTCGTCAGTTTGAACTGACTTCAGATGAGATCAATCAGCACACACGTGATGGTTTGAAACCGACAGGAAACATATTTTCCTGTTTATTCCTAAGACACTTCCAGGAATTTGTACCTCTGACACACACACACACACTGCGTGGTACGATTACCTCTGAGTAAAGGGTAAATGGGACTATGTCAAACTACTGGAAATAATGGCCTCTTCAGTTTTAGAATGTTTTGGAAATATTGTCCTGAAACACTCTTACCTACTGAGAGGAGGTGCCACGTTACTGCTGGGGTGGCGAAGCAAGCGAACACATCATCTGTGCTGCTGAAATGGGTGAGGTGGGGGCTGGCAATAGCCTGACCTCGACACTGACCCCACATCAGAACCTGTCCACTCTGGGTCTTGGCAGCTGACGTGTGGCTGGTGTGACATGCAGCCACCTCCACCATCCTAGGGACAAAAACAGAACTCAAAGGTTAAAGTACGACTGATGTCAAGCCTTCTTGTGCAGACTGTCTGATGAAATATGTCCAGTACTGCCAAGAGGCAAAGAACACATTCTATCATAGAGAAGAATAAGCATTTTATCACAATGAGAACTACTTCTCTAATAATATTTCTCTAGAGGCAGCGACCAATCTCTTGTTACTCTACAACGTTAAACCATGTATGCCTTTGGGGCCTTCAGCAACAAAAAATAAATCCTCTGTCAGGATTTTGTCATGCGGCCCTCACTGACCTGTTGTGGTGGCAGAGAGGTGTTGCTGTTAAATGAGGCTGGGGTTGAAAACAAAGCACTAACCTCTCTTTGTCTGTGTTTATTAGAGTGGGGAGAGCTTGGTTACTCTTATTGCCTGTTCCCAACTGCCCATACGAGTTGGCTCCCCAGGCATAAACAAACCCCTCATCTGTGAGTGCCAATGTATGTGCATATCCGCAGGCAACCTGTACACGGAAGGAAGAGTGCAATTAAGCTGAATGTTCACAGAAATATATGATACAAAACAGAGCTTTATGAGATTTATCTCCCTCTAGGCTCTTACCTGGATGATGTTGACACCTTGGAGTGCAGCGATCCTGCATGGGGTCTGCTGATTTCCATTGTTGCCCAAACCTAGCTGTCCATTGCAATTGTAGCCCCACCCATAGATCTACAAACAGGGGACACACATTCAGACTATGCACACACTATATCAAAGCTCAACATTTATCTGCATATATTATTAATACTGTCAAAATCTTACATATCAGCGGTTTATTAGCATTTTCTCTAAAATTTTCTCTTCACGTTCTTTTAGTGGTTATAATATGTATATTCTAAGATGTCCTTATCGCAAGAAACACGTTTACTGTTAACTGCGAGGAACACCTTCTTGAACGTCTTCTTGGTGGAGAAAACACAGCAACTTTTGGATGCGTGGGGACATTAAATCAGGGTAAAAATTGGTTTCAAATGATCTGCCTTTCTAAAGATATTTGTATATTTAAAAAACAAACAAATTATTAGGCATGCCTCTAATGCACAATCTGCTTACAAACCTATCATGTTTGTCTGCATTACATAATGCTTAAAAAAAGGATAGCTGACCTGAGAGTACTGCTTCATTTGTTCATGCTAAACATCTGCAGATGTATGTGACCCATTACCTCTCCATTGTCTAGTACAGCCATAGAGCAGAGCTGGCCACAGGCTATGTTAACCACCACTTTGTTCTGCAGGCAGCTGCTGACCCGGCGCGGTGTTGGCTGGTTGGCAGTAGAACCTGAACCTACTTGGCCTGAGTTGTTGTAACCCCACGCGTACACCTGAACACAGAGATAAATGTTCACTGTCTAAATAAATACACTCGATAAAAGGACACAGCTGATGATAGTTTACCTCTCCATCAGTGGTGAGGGCAATAGTGTGGTGGGAGCCACAGGCCACCTCTGTCACTCTCTTGTTAAGGAGGTTGGTGGACACAAGGGCCGGGGTTAGTCCGTGGTTGGTGGTCCCATTGCCGAGCTGGCTGTAGCCATTGTGGCCCCAAGCAAACACCTCTCCATCTACACAGCAGCCAGCAAACTTTCATTCATGTTGTCTCAGTGGTTAATATATTATTAGCAGATAAGAAACACACGATTTGCAGCAGAGTAAAGACATCTGTATAAAAAGGCACAAGCCGACAACCTAAATTAAAACCTGCTATCACTCCAAAATTCAACTGACAGAAATAGAAGAAAATCAAACAACAAGTAAATCAATGTTTGCAATGTATTTTAAAATCTGATTTATTGAGAAACAAATAGCCTCATTTTCATCGATGTTACAATTAGATTATGGATGGGAATATAACTCTAATTGCTATGGTCAAGCACCAGTAAGGGTTACACTAATTGTCTACTAGTTGATGCAACGTAGTGCGATTAGTTTACCCACAAAAAACCAGAAGGCCACTTTTGTGCCAAAACACGCTGAATTGTTGAATCTCAGCATATAAACCTGTCACTTGCAACAACTGATTGTACTGATCTGAATACAAGTTATTAGACTCCACTGTTTCGTATTAATTAATTAAGTATTTTGGAGCGTATGTGTATTTGGTGTATGGGCCAGAATGACACAGCATCATCATAAACACATTCTGAATATTTACGTGTATCATCTTGTTGTTTGATGTCTCTTGAGGATATTGCCCCTCAGGGACAAATAGAAGTTTTCTGAACTGGATTACCTGCAGTACCGATAACAACATGCGGTCCCGTTCCATAGCTTAGGGACACAATCTTCTTTCCACACAACACATCAATCCTGCGCGGCTCAATGGTGCTTTGAAGGTCTCCGAGCCCTAAACAGCCGCTGCAGTTGGTGCCCAGAGCAAAGACCTGCAAAGATCAAACGTCACTGATGAAATGGTACTAATGTTAATAAATGTTGTGTAAATACTACATTCTAGTGTTTACTGATAAACACCCCAATAAACACAAAAAATATGAGACGACATATTGGGAGGAGACACTTTGTGAGTAGGATTTGAATTATGATTTGAAATAATGAAGTCTAAAGTCATTTGATATATATGACATACAAAAATAATTTTACATTTCACGGCCACAGAGGAATGGCCAAATATACAAATAGGCCAGGAACTAACAATATTTTCAGTATTGTTAATCTTTCTATTAGTTTTTTCAATCAATGGTTTGTACAGTCTCTAAAAATTTAAGAAAATAGTGAAATATGTGCCTCGCAATATCCCAGTGCAGAGGAAGATTTGACAATCAATTTTGTGTCAGTTGACTAAATGATTAATGGACTAATCATTTCAGTGCTATTCACACCCAAATAAAACTACACCGGCAACCAAAATGTAATATTTGCGAAATTATGTGTTATGCCACAACTGACTGCTCCAAAAACCTAAACTGTTTGGTTACAGGGACAAACACACTAGCAAGGGTGGCAAGATGAGCCACGCTCTACACCTTTCCAGAGGATAAAAATGGAGCTTGCTCGGGTATTAGCTAAAGATAGCCTCATTCTATCTGCTTATCCCTGTGCTTGGAACTGCATCCTGTATCAACCAGAGAGTGAGAGGCCTGCAGCGTTTTTCGATCCACTTCTACATACAAAATAAGCAAACCAGTATTATTAAAAAAGAAGAGTCTTTCAAGTCTTGCAACACATCTCACTGTAAACAAGAGGATTAAAGAACCCCTGTGTAAAGCCTAAGTGCTACCTCATCATTAACTGTGACATAGAGGGCTTCGTTTGCAGCGCTGCCAAAGACACAAGCCTGCCGGATAAGCCGTAGTTCCTCAGGAGGAAGGAGTGCAAACACTGGCCACTTCCCCACGTCCAGCATACTACTCAGCTGTGAAATGAGGAGAAAAACACAGTTAAACAGATGTGAATACGGGTCAGCCAGACATTTTGATTCAAAACGATTATAGTGTACAAAAGCTGGACATGTGGGCCTTCATGGAAAGACGAGAATCAAAAGACTTTTTTTTTTTTAACATGTGCATGTTCATGAACTGTACATGGGGTATTCTGTGAAAGAAAGAATAGATTCATAGGGTAAAGTAAAGTCACAGAAAAGCAGGAATATGGTGAAGTTGTCATGTTAAAGCCATTCCTGCTCCGGTTCGTAACTTCTTGATTGCATTCAAACAAATTATTGCTGTATAGTCCAGTTATTAAAAATGGAAAATAGCGAAAACCTGACCAAAAGGCCAAACTTGACTGTAGAATGAATATGCCAAAAGGAAACATACTATAAACTGAAAGTTAAGTGTGCAACAAATGCATGAAATAAAAACTGAGTGGGTAAATTATCCACACGGTTCTCCACATCTCAAAAGTGCCCGACACAGAGAGCAACTGGGCACGGAGCCCAGTGTTGTAGACGGATTAAAACATGAATGCCCGTTGACTGAGGTAAACCCATTAATGTGTGTTTACTGGCAGAATGAGGGTCCAGGTTATGTCACCCATACATTTATCTAGAACTGCACCTAAAGCCAGATCCAATATTTGCAATACAATGGTCAAACCAAATGTCAAAGATGTACTCTTGTTTTTGAACTTATAATGTTCTCAGGGTGGTATAAGCAGCCCACATACATTGATTTGAAGTGGGCAGTCAGGGCCTCTGTACTTAATGGAGGTTATTTATCAAACATCAATATATGCTAATAAAATCGACTTGTCTCTCCTTGAGCAATTCTCAGCTGAATCATAAGCAACAGACATTAAATTCCAGCTGTATCAAAACATATCACAAGAGTCAAAACGCTCTTAAAATGACCTTTTTCGTTGAAGTTACTGTCCTATCTGAACACTGGCTGCCCCCCAGTGACCACATTGCAGTGAGTATGAACCCAGACCTTATGAACAGCACTCCTCCCCACCTACACACCGCTGTCCAACACCTCAACCACCAACCGTGCCCACAGAGGAGCCACATAATCCACGCACACAGCGAACAGGGTGTGTTGCGTTGTAACGAACACCAGCAGCCGCAAAAGCTGCTAATGTAGCATCGAGCATCAGCAGCCGTATCGTAACTATCAAACTGTGCAACAACAGACTATGAAGCTAATTCAGCGATGTTGCTGTTACTGCTGCCAGACTGTTCACATTACCTTGCTGTCGCTCTAGCTACTGTTTCGTCCGCGGTGTCGTTTTCTGAACACTGAACACTGAAACATTGGAAAATGGTCAGACCACATGTTTGTCGAATCAGGTTGCTGGTGGAATCATCTCGGCGGTCCGGTGTGGTTCTGGTTCACTTTAGTTGCTGTAGTTGCAGCTTGTTGTTAGTTAGCTTTGATCGCTACACCGCCGACTCAGAAAAACACAACCTTACTTCCTGTAGTTACGGTGCGTTCACTGACCGTCGGAGCTGCGGGCTTCTAATGTTTATTAATGGTATCAAAGGCTTTCTCAGCAAGAGTCTATACCATTAGCTAACTATTAGTAATAGAGTTTAAAAAGTGCTAAACAAATAAATATGCTATTGTGTTTTTCATTAAAAACTATCCAATAATTGATTTAAATTATATTAAAAATTGTTTAAAAAAAGGCATAGTAAGACATGTGTTTTAAATCCATAAAAACAAACATCTAGAAGTACAAGTAAGCAACGTTTTTGTAATTAAAATTGACATTTGTAAAGTCACCTAACTGATTGATTGTTCAGGAAGAAATAAAAACAGCCTTGTTTACTCTAATTAAGGCAAGATGTGTAACCTTTCAGATGATGAGTATATTGGATATGGTGTGTGCAACTTGTTTACTTTGTATATACTTGTTTTGTAGGCCATGCAGCATCATAACACTTACACTACACTAAACATAATTTAATTTGGACACATCATGTAAAAACAATATGTAGGGCTTACATATGTTCTGTTTGTATTTCCTCAGATGCATCTGGTGCAAGTGGTACTTTAATGGCTATTTATCTATATATTATATCTATATTATGCTACATTCTCTATTACTATTTCTCTATGAAAATGTCTTTATGTATTGTCCCCATAGCCATCCTCTTCTTTGTACGGAAGTCACCTTGTTTTCTGGTTTTGTTTTGTTCAATAGCATATTACACATCTGTTTATAAGAACACTTAAGGCTGAATCATCTCTGCTGGATCCTTGGTCCTCAACACGTTGTTGGTCTTCCTTGATATTCCTCTATGGACTCTTCTTACTGTAAGTTGCAGGGGGGGGGGAGCAAAGGCAAACTAGGAAAACATCAGGAAATAGAGCTTTGTTTACATTTTTATCAGTTTTGTAGAAGAGAAACTACATTATTTTCTACTTCCTCCTTCATTGACTACTTTGGCAGAAACAGCAAAGTATGCTTTTATAAAGTCCAGCAGATGGAGCCATGGATAGCCTTCTCTCAGTTCATGTCAATGCATGACACATTGCACTTGTTTGTGCCAAAGCTTTACAGACCCTCATCTGACATGCTCTTATTTTGTTTGAAGATCGAAAATCATCCGTGTTGCTAAATTTAATGTGTGCCTGAAAATAAACTGTGAGGTAATTCATTCATTTTCAAATACATACATTACTATTTTCATCTTCACCTTTAGCTGGATACATGATAGTATATATAATATAATATATTACAGACTTATTAGAAGATAATGTTTTTGTGGTAAAATAAAATCATGTAATTTGATAATTGAATTCATTTTAATATTATCCTTTAAGCTGTTGTTTTCCTGTATAACTATAATTTTGCATGTGTTAAAGTTGAGGTTTAAAATGTGTTCTGTTAAAGTGTCTGTTAGTGTAAGTTAGAGTTTGGCACAAGTGCTGTGTGTCATGAAAGGTGAAGGACTTCACAAAGCAAAGAACTGCTAGAGGGAATTTCTTTAAAATGAGATACTGTGATACTGGATTGGGATTGACTGATTGTCAAACCTCAATATCAAGTTCCTGAGACTTTGTAATAATCAGGAGGTAGAGCCATAGAAAGTAACAAGTCTATATTTCATTACATCAGTAATTTAGAATATACTTATAAAAAATATGTCATATTTTGACCATCACAGACTTATTATCAAAGCGACAAGACGTAGTCGGAGTGATAAGGGGATATTTAATCATTTTTTTCATTGTGTTTCATGGTATGTGGACAATATATGTATTTTTTAATGTTTTTATTTTCAGTTTACATATTACACACATACACTTATTATTCCTGTAGTGTAATGGTACCATTTAAAGGCGATATGATGCTGTTAAGGTGGACCGGGAAGGTCCAACAAGAGGCTGGCCACGGTTCATCGTTGTCTGGGTACATCTGCAGCTCGGCAGGGCGAAACTGAGCCTGGCACAGTCCCATACAGGTGAAACAAATGTGCTGTTTCCCTTTCAACACATTCACATGATTCTCTGCGAATGTGTTCGTGGACAAACCGATCACAGACACGTCAACCTTAAAGTCTTCCTTAAAACAATGAAAAAGTAGGTAGATGGAATAAAGTTCATATAACTGTACTATATACATATAACGTCCACGATACTTTAAAAAAAATTATAATACTAATCAGACAATGTGACAATCTTAGAAATGTGTCTCTTTGCTATCTTGGAATTTGGGATTCGTCATGATTTTCTGTAATACGCATGCGCACAGAGCCCTGTAAGCGATGGCGAAATTCCTGACTTTTATGCGAGGAGCAGGGTTGTATGGGAAGTTATCTCGATAAAATTGCCCATTAGGCTCTCGTTATCGATACCCGGCACCGCCACGGTCGCTCGCCGCTCACTTGGGTCTGTTTTCGGTGCAGTCAGCGCGGAAGATCGTCGTTCACACAACGAGCAAAGCACATCTTCATCTGGCTAACTATTAGCTCCGTTAGCATTAAGGTAGCTAACGCTGGCATGTCACAGCAGCGCCGTGTCTTGTGTTTATCCAGGCAGCTAGCAACGTATCCGCCTCGGCTCATTGTTTGTGTGTGTGTGTTGTTGTTGTT